AATAAATGGGTGAGAGTAGAGGTGATGCTCAGAGAGAGGGCTTGTTAGGGAGGAAACAACCTACCTGCCACATGGACATGGATTTGATCTGTTGCAGCTCTAGGGCTGTGTTTGACTTGGAGGCATTTTTCCCTAAGGAAAAATACAGCTTTCCCTGGAAGCTGTCCCAGAGGGATGGGTGCTAAACTTCAGCTCTCAGGGCTGGATGGGCCATAATGGGGACTAGAAGGGGAAAGCAGCCACTGCTTCAATGTGAGCATCCACAAGGCAAAGCGTAGGGTCTCAGGGTAAAGCCACATCAGAGGTGACCTGATGGGGCAAGGGAGAGGGGTGAAGACAGAGGACATCCAGGCTTAACCCCTAGCTGGACATAACAGGTTCTCTTAACAGGGAGACAGCTCTCTGGTGGGCTCTCTGCAGTGAACAGACCAGCCCTTTCTCAAGCCTCGCAGCACAGCAGTTGTTTTGTGGCCAAAACTGATGAAAATTGTTCAGTCAAGCTGCAAAGTGCAGAATCTGGGTGTAAATTGCTCTGTCCTGGTTTACAAGCCCTGAAGTTGCTGATGAGAGGGGTCTTGCTAATGGAAGCAGGAAGCGGCACAAGGTGCTTGGACATAAGGTTTCCTGCCTGGGCTATGCTGGGTGGGTTTGGGTCCCTGTTCTGCACTGGTCCCTCCTTTGCGGTGAAGCAGGTGGCACAGCATCACGCCTATTGCTGCTATTGAGCCCCATCTGTAGAAACTCAGGACCCCCAAATCTCCTCTTGATCCCTCTCCAAACACAGCTCAGGGGAGCAGATGGTTGGAGCAGCACTGGCTTAGTCCCCAGCTCACATCTGATTCTTTGTTTTTCTCACTGCTGGTTAACTTTGTAAGACACCGAAGTCTTTAACCATTAGCAGGCAATAAAAGGGGGCAGCTGAATGGATAACACCCACTAATCCCCTTCCAGGATGAGCCGGAGCAAACAGGCACCGCGATGCGCTGAGCTTATTGAGATGAGTCCTTTGGAGGCTTTGAGAATTGCATGGTGTTGGTATTTCATGAATAAATAACCCCCAGTGATATCTGTCACTGAATCTGCTTCATTAATGAGGGCCTGCAACAAGGGGAGAGGGTGGAGAAAAGGATTTTCAAGGGAATTGGGATGATGCTGGTGATGGGAGGTGGCACAGGGCTGGGTGAGGATGGGTGCTGTGGTCTGCACCGTGGGAGCTGTGCAAGGTCAGGCAGAGCCCTGCTGTTGTGCACCACACACTGACCGTTGGTGGCAATAGGGGTTGTTAGAAAAGATGGTTTTACTGCTGCTGGGGATGTAATCAGTGGGTGCTGGTAGGGAGGGGAGTGAATTTCATTTACAAGTGTATCATTTGGGTGTCTGCGTGTGTCTTTGAGAGGGCTGGAGAGTTAAAAGAAATAGCATGTGCATGTGTTTGCATGTTAGTTCTCTATTTCTGGAGAGAATCTGGCACCAGAAATCATGTTGCTCGCTCCAAAATGCCCTTTTTGATAGGACCTGGCATCTCTTCAGGGTGGTGGGGAGTTGCCCCATCACACCAGAGCTGAACCCTGCCTGGTCCCTGTGGTTTCAGTGCCTGTGTCCACCCAGTGACACCAGCAGCTTCCCCTGGCTATCCAGTGTGCTCCAGGCATGGCACGAACTGCGGAGCCTGACTTCTCCATCCTGCCTTGTCAGATGGGATCCAGGGTTACTCAGTGAAATTCAATACGGATAGATGGAGAACAAGAGAAAAGAGCTGTTCTTTTGCAGGCAGCTTGTTACTGCAGGGAAAGTGATTCATCCATCAGTGCTGGCCTAACGTGGCGTGGCCAGGCGGTGGTGGTCGGATGCTGCTGTTGCTCCTGCCTTGTCGGCACTGCCTTCTCTCCAGCTCTGAGATTTGGGGATGAGGGCTGTGGTCCTGTACAGCAGCAGGGAGGGGTGGGCAGGGGTAGGAAGTCATCTGCTCTGTGATGGTTATCCCAGTCTCATTGAGGGAAGTGGATAGTTAATTGCTGCTCTTCATCCCCCCTAATTAAAAGGAGCCTCTGAGGCTGGCAGTGCCTCCATCTAAGACCCTCTGGGTTAGGCAGGCTAGACATAAGGAAGATGTTCTTCCCTGTGAGGGTGCTGAGGTGCTGTCACAGGGTGCCCAGAGAAGTGGTAAATGCCCCATCACTGGCAGTGTTCAAGGCCAGGTTAGACAGAGCCTTGGATGCCATGGTCTAGTGTGAGGCGTCCCTGCCCATTGCAGGGGGTTTGGAACTGGATGATCTTAAGTTCCTTTCCAACCCAAAGCTTTCTAGGATTCTGTGAAAGCAAAGCTTGCTCCCAGCTCACTCCAAGCATCGCAACAGCCCTCTCATTTGCAGCCATCCCCCTTGTCAGCGCACCGTGTCAAAGTGATGCTCCTCTGCTCTAACAACAGATGACACTGAAGTGATCCGGCCAAACAGCCTCTCTCCATACGCAGGCAGCAGCATCACCCCTCTCCTCTCGCAGGTGACACTTGAATGCTTCCCTCTGGCTCCGCTGACCCACCTTCCAGGGAGGTTAATACTTTAATACGCTTAATGGCTCGTCCCAGCTCGGCAGCCCCTGCCCCGTGCTTTGTCAGGGGTCACCATTATGATAGGCGTGATTTTGAAGAGCAAGATTTCTCTTACCATCCTCTGCGCTCCCTAAGCCACCCTTATCCAGCCCCAGAGTCTCCTTTCCACCACCTAAGGCAGCTGTAGCTTCTCATCTTCTTTCAGGGATGCGGGAGCTGCAGGAGGGTCTGGTTGGTTGGTACCCAAATGGAAAAGCCGGGATAAGAGGATGGGGCACAGCTCTCCTTTCAGTCCACCTACGATGAGAAACCCCTTGAGAGGACCAGATGGGGCTGAGCTCTCTGGGTGGGCGGTGGAGGAGTTGTCATGTGTTTTAAATAATTCTCCCTACATTAATAAACAGTGTTTTTTGGTTAGTAAATACTCTGGGTAGTAACTAATATGCCCTTTCTCTCCCCAGCATCTCTCCAGCAGAAATATGTGCCCTGATCTAATGTATTCTTGCTGTTCTCACTCCCTCACTTCAGAGGAGCTGCAGATTCTGGTGGGAACAGAGTGCTAATAGAAAAGGGCCTCTAAAGATATTTGAAACATCACCAAGAAAGGACAAGAGGGAGATTGAGCTCCAAATATGCTGGAAAATCTAGGAGCTGGGCCAAGGAAAGGGGGAATATCGGAAGCTTGATCACCAAGAGGGAAATTGGGAAGCATTAACTGGGGTGGAAGCAGACAGTGTAGACATTAATTTGCTATGTGGGGTAACGATGCAGTCAGAGGCATCATGGAGGGCATGGAGCTACCGCTGTGCTGGGGCACCTCATCCACCTTGTTCCATGGTAGCAGAGAAGCTGCCCTCCATCCACCTCCCTAGAGCAGGGATGTGCCAATTCTTCTTGGTTTTATGGTGTTTTCCTTGTTGAAAGTCCCAGCTTCTGGAATGCTGTGATTGCCTGGAAATCTGGAAGCTGCCAAGGCATGACTTCCATGCTGCACAGGGCTTTCCATCTTTGGGTTTGGTGATAGAAACTGGGTAGTTTCTAGCCCTTTAGTTTGCAGGGAAAAGCTTGATTATACCCTAAAGGCTCAGAAAGCAGAAGGCAAATGTGGGGAAGGAAAAAAACCCAACCCACCCAGTGCTTGATTTATTTCAAAATCTCTCCATTTTTATGCCAATCTCATTATATATATATAATTTTTAATGCCTGACTCATGATTTTTAGGGGCTTTTGGTGTTGGCAAGGCTGTGTGCATGAGTGTGACTCTGCGTGTGCGTGCAGGGTCCCTCTGCTGATGGAGAATGCAGTGCTAGTACCACACAGCAGTGCTGTGGTCCTCAGGGACTGGTGAATATTCCTCCACCACTGTTTCATTGCCAAGCATGGGGTTATCAAATGAAAACCACCCCGAAACAGGGAGACCAGTACTGGGCATTGGGTCACTGTGTGGCTGCTTAGGTGCTGATGGGAGAGCAGGGGGGACTTGTGACTCCTGGCATTGCTTCAGGGCTTATTTTAAGGTCAGAGGGATCAGTGTTTATTTGCAGTCCTGTGTGTATAAGGGTCTAATAAGTAGCTTGTGGAGGTCAAGTCTTTTGCCATCAGTGACTTGTTCTGTGACCTTGGCTTAATCTCTTTGTCCTGTTGGTGAGATGATGATGGGATCTATTGGTCAAGATGGATTGCAAGTAGAGGTTAATATATAAAACGTTCTTTGGAGATGCTTAAAGCTCTTGACAAGCATCTGCGTTCCCTTGCTGGAGCCCAGCAGAAAGCAAAGTGCCTGGATGCTTTGTCACAGACAGAATCTGCTGTGCACAGGGCTCTCATGCTTCTTATGCTTTTCTCTTGCTTAAGAGGGCTGTCACAGCATGGCCATGCCAGCGGCTCTGCAGATCCATCATGGGCTTGAGCACAGCTGCAGTGAGCCATCCCCATCCCTGCATCCCCTGCTCCAGGTCACCCAGAGCCAAGCATGGGAATGAGCCACCACATCCACATCTTGGTGCAAAGCCAGGTTTCATGTGGAATTCCAGCTCTGGCAGTGTCCCTAGGTGATGGATGAGGAGTGGGTGCTCAGGGAGGCTTGTCCCAGGTGTGAAATGTCCAGGAGGAGTTTCACTGTTGTGGATTTGCTCTTGGCTAGTATGGGGTTGGAACCACACACACCACTCCAGGCTATTAATAAAGTACCTCTTCATTGCTAGTTTGCATGGAAATGGTAGATAGCATCTTTGAAACTCCGTAAGTGGTTGATTTTTATCAAGAATGTCACTTATGCAGCAAACGTCTTCCATACAGTATAATCACAAAGCCTTAATCCTCTTGGGAAGCTTCCTTTGACTTGGTTTTGCTAATTGGAATACCAGAGCAGCTCTCTTTATGGCTTCCCCTACCAATGCCATGTGTTCCCAGCTCCCTGCCAGCTCTAACGGTGCCTTTTCTCTCCAAGGGAAGAAGCGATGCTGTCCACCTACTTTGAAACCATCAATGACTTGCTCTCCTCCTTCGGGCCAGTCCGGGACTGCTCCCGCAACAACGGTGGCTGCACCCGCAACTTCAAGTGCGTTTCGGATCGCAAGGTGGACTCCACGGGCTGCGTGGTAGGTACACGGGTGCTCTTCCCAACTCTGGTGTCTGTTTGGGGGGGGGGGCAAAGCAAAGGGGGCATTGCCTGTCCCTCCCTAGGGATGTGGCCAAGGGGATGTATGTGTTGGTGGTGAGCTCTCCCCATCTCTGGGGCCTTGATAGCAGATCACATATGTCTGAAGGACCTCAGGGAAGCAGCCCAGGGGCTCAGATGAGCAGAAGAGAAAGGCTTGAGGCTGATGGTTGTTTTCCTGCTTGTCAAGAGAGCACAGACCTTGCCTTTAATCCTGCCGTGTGCTTCCCAGTGTTGGAGGAAGATGAAGCATCTCCACATCCCCTCCTGCTCTCGGCCTCCCTGGCACCCTCAGAGCTTTGATTTGTTTCTGAACATGTGTCTTGCCAGACAATCTACTGAGGCCCCTTCAAAAGACCTATTAGACCCTAGGCCATTAGTTTTCGGCAGAGGCTCTGAGATGCTCCAAGCTATTGATGTATGAAGGGGTTTCACTATGCTTCCAGGTGGGAGCAGCAGAGCTCAGCACCTCTCCCTGCTGTACCCCATCTGACCTTGACAGCAAAATCACCACTTCCTGGGGTAAAGATTGGACTTGATCATAAAGGTCTTTCCCAACCTGGTTGATTCCCTGTGTGTGGAGGTGGTGTGGGTCTGCTATGACACTGACACTTGGGGGCCGAGCCTTGGGAAGGTGCGTGAAACCCGGAGCATCCCTTGTTGTCTGAATGTTGTAGGAGCTCCCGCCTGCCCAGCAGTGGGTGGTGACCCCAGCGAGGGATCCAGAGCTTGCCCTTCACTCCACTGCCCTCCAAACCCATCCCTGCTGCTCCGAAGCCCCCCAAACCTCTGCCCCTTCCCTTCTGTCTGCAGGCTGAGCCCCCACTGCCCCATCCCTCCCACGTGAGCAGAGGCAGGAGTTAAGTGTCTCTTTATTTATTGAAGATGTTTACATGCGGCACAGGGAAAGGTCAGGCTGAAGCGGTGCTGTCCCGGGGGTGGCGTTTTCATTATCCCCTTCTCCGGTTGCTTGTTAAGGCCATTTAGCGCGACAGCCTCATGTGTCACCAGCAGCGCCTGGTGCCGTCTCCCCCTTGTGCTCCTCTCCTTTTCCCGTTGCCTTTTATTCCCTTTTCCAGCCTCCTTTTTACTCTATTTGGGGGGGGGGGTTCCCCCCTATTTTTGGGTGTTATTTTGCTCTCGACGCCAACGTGCCTCCCAGACACTGTCAGAAGCAATCGGGACTCAATCTCCCTGTGCCGCTGGGGGAAGAGATGCCTCTTTTTAGAAGCCAGGATATATTAAGATTGAAATTGTCAATAAATTACAGGCCTAGAGCTCCACGTGGCACATGGAGAGGTGGAAATTGACAACTGTGTCACTCAGAGAGAATAACCCCCTGCTCTGTAATGCCTAACAGAGGCTTTATGCAGAGGATAAACTGTACACAGCGGGCAGCAGGGGAGGATGGAGATGCAGCAGGAGCCATTCTCTGGAGTACATCACCTCCCAGGAAGCTATGAGTAAGAGGGGACACATGGGAACCAGGGCATCCCCTGTCCTCCTGCTCCCAGGGCTATGCGTCCAATGGGAACAGGAGATAATTGCAGAGATGCTCATCTTTACCCCCTTCTGCTTTTCACCCCCTTTTCTCCCCACTGCAGAAGCATGAGGCTGCTCTGCCCATCTTCAAAACCCTTCAGCCATGGGGTGAAGCCCCCCCAGCTCCTCAGTCTCAGCTGCAGAGGACAACAGAGCTGAGCTCCCTGTGGAGAGTTTGGAGATGCTGCTGCATCCCACCACCGGTCCACATCTCTCCCTGCTTCCCATGGCGCTGTCACCAGAGGCACAGTGCTCCATCCCTCCCAGCATTCCCAACCCTGTTTTACACTCTCAGCCTGCTTGTAGGCCCTAAGAAACATGGAACAGAGGTCTGGAAGACACTGACCCATGTTTCTGACCATGGTCCATGGCCATTGTCTGGTGAAAAGCCTAACGGGTGTCCAGACAGTGCTGCCCCCAGCCCTGTGTCTTGCTCATGGTGTTAAGTCATAGGTGATGGAAGTTGAGTTTTGGAGCTTGCTGCATCCCCAGTGTGTCACCTTTCGGTACCTTCTGCACTGTGTAGCACATCCCTTCCTCATCCCAACCCTGTTCCTGGAGCCTTCTGGGTGCGAGCAGCACTTCCAATGCGAGCAGGGATGGGGTCGTGGGGTTGTCAGTTAGTTTTAGAGCTGAACTGCTGCGAACTCCCTTTGCCAATTTGGTAAGTGCTGTGGGCAATATCAGGATGTAATTTAATTAAGCTCTCCCCTTTTTATGGAGTTCAGGGAGCATTTGCCTACTAATTTTAGCACTAGGCTTGCTCCAGCTTTACTCTGGACACTGTTTTGCAAATCAGGACATGTTGTTAATCTTTAGCAGTCAACAGTGTATTAATTTGCTGAGGACCACAGAAGTACATAATCAGTGGTTCATCAATCAAGGCTAAATCCAACAAATGTTCCAGACAGGTACTGAGCATAAAATACAGAGGCAGCCTTGTAAGCAATTAATACACAGCAGAGCTGGAGCCCAGCCGCTCAACCAGGGAGCAGCACAAATCTCAAGGATTTCTTATTCCTTTTATATATAATCATCATCTGTTACCAGCTTCGCTGGGCCTTTGATACGGCTTCCAGTAATTCTGCGAGGACTTGGGGATGCATTTATCTCTGGGTTCTTTAGCAGCGTGGGCTCTGCCATTACCTGATTGTTTGGCTTTAAAAAGACTCAGTTAAAAGGTGGAGGGTGGTTTGATGCAGCTCGTGGTGGAGCATCTCTGAGGACACTGCCATTGGGCTTAGGAAGGAGAAAAGAGGGTGCTGCTTTGCATAGTTATATGCGAGGGATCATCTACAAGACCCCAAAGGCTCTACAGTGCGGTCCCCAACTTCCATCCCATACTTCCCATGGGGATGGGCCTTTTCCCCCCCCTAAATCTCATGGCTTTTGTGTTGTTTTGACGTGTACCCAGTAGATGGCATTAGTGCCTAAAGGCTTCCTGCCATCCTTTTCTTATCGGAGGCCTTTTTCATTTGAGTAACTTTAAGGACGAGCTGCAACCTTGCAAAGACCTTGGCATTGCTAACTGGAGCCTTGTCTTTAAGCCCCACCTGAAACATAACAACGCTATCCCCAAGCTCTAGAAAACCTGATTCTGTGCTGCTTTTCCTAGAATTCCTGTTGGGTTTGTGGAATATCCCAAGAAAACAAAATCCCAGTGAGCTTCTCTAAACCTCTCTGCGCATTGAGTCCACTGTGTTTCAGACTACCTTGCAGGGATCACAGTAAACCAGGATTAAGTGTGCTGAAGGAATAAGTGATTATTGCTAGTAGAGGAGAATATATATTGAGATATGTATGTATTGCTGTTCCCCTCTACTGGCACAGCAGTAGCTGCTCAGCTCAGAGGGAGGATGCTGAAGGAAGAGAAGCGCTTAACCTTCATGTGTTGGTGATTTATAATTCGAGATGAAAACCTGTGAATTGGCCCTGAGGGACTGAAGGGAACACCTGTAAAATGGCTTTAATTCAGGTTTCCCCACCTGTCTCTCAGCATGGTTTCACTCACTGATGCCAATCCTCTCATCCACCTGGGGAGAAGAAGGCTGCTTGCATCTGCCACCCCATGGCCCTGCCTGTTTGAGAGCCCCAGCAAGGCAGGATTGCAGCCTCAAGGGAATAAGAGGGGTGATGCCTGCCGATGTTGGTGACTTAATCTTTTAGGTTGGAAGAGAATGATGTGCGCCATAGAAGCCCAAAGATGTTGGCTCCATCCCACCTTGGGAGGGGTGTCAGGAAGGGGTAGGAGAGCCCATCAAGCTGGGTGCTGCTGTTCTGCACAGACATGAAAACCTGCTGATGATCATCCTGCTCTCAGGCTGGGGCTCCTCTAGCACAGATTTGTGTCTAAATTGAGTGAGGAAAAGGTATGTTTTGCCTACAAGGACCATGTGAACTGTTCTTTTCCATGGTCACAGGGTCAGCCCATTAGGCAGGAGGCTTTCTTGGGCTCAGCAGTGTGCAGAAGGGAGAGCATCTACTACCAATGTCTCTGAATGAAGTTGTGGCCCACGGTGACACTGGTGTGGAGCTGATCCCAGCCTTTATAGATACAGAAGGAGAAACTTGGCATGGTCCACACAGGCACCTAACCTTAACACAGCCTGTCTGGAGCTAATCCTTTTCTTTAGCTCTTTTCCACATCAAACTGATGGGCTGTTCCTTGGCTGCTGCTGAGCGGGGCAGGGAAATGGCTTCATTTAAGAGAGTAACTGTTCAGGTTGAAATGGGATTAGAAGTGAAGGAGGAGGACAGTTGCTCCCATCTCCTCCTTTCAGCACAAGTCACCCAGAGGTGGCTCAGGGACCATGAGGGGTTGATTGTACCTCAGAATGAAGTGGATGGTGCTGAGAACTGATATCCCTGGGGGGAAACTGGGTGAAACGTCCAAAATCTTTTGGTTCAAAGCATCTCCTTTCTCTGAATGCTGGATTCATTGAATGTTCAATTCCAGCACTGGAATGTTCAATTCCAGCATTGGAATGTTCAATTCCAGCATTATCATCTAGGACTTTACGTTACACATCACGTTATCCCAGTGTGGAGCCTGAAATGAGAACAAAATCAGGCGGTGGAAAGCAAACAATTTCAACCTCATCAAAGTGAAACACTCTCCTAATTTCCCAATGAATTTTGAGCTGTAATTGATGGACTCTCACAAAACACTGAAGCTTCATCAAATCTACATTTTTTCTGACAGACAATTGTTCACTGAAGAATAAAACCTCATCCTTACGAGGCACCCAACTCATTAAGTTAGAGATGCTCAAGCAAGGGCAGGGAGATGGGGAGGGAACAGATCCCCTCTGATCCCTTTAAAGTTTAGCTGGCTCCCTGAAGCAGATGACTCCCTGTTCACATTATGGTTGGAAGCAGCAAGTCCCCTCCCCAGGAGCC